ACCCAGTTCTTCCATCTGGGAACCGGCACATGTTGCCACTTTGTTTTGTTTTTGTTTTTGTTTTCCAAGATAAATTTCAAATACATATTTGTATGTGAAATAACCTGACTTTTAAATCCTGGTGACTAATTCACACTTTTTAAGAAACACTGTGTGGGCCAAACAGACTGCGTCAGCGGCCCCAGTGGAAGCTTGTGTCGTGGGTTTTGGCGTTCCTGGAGCTCCCCTGAGTTACCTGTTGGTTCTGCAGTCTCTCCTAGAAAACCTCACCTGCTCCCGTGGTTTAAAGGCCTTCTCCACGCTGACGCCTCCCAAACTTAATGATAGTCACGGCCTCTCCTCCAGACTCCAGACTCTGTGTCTAGCTGCCAACTCCATCCACATCCACCTTGGATTTCTACGGGCACCTCAACATCGCACATGCAAAACTCAGCCCTTGACCCCCCCCCCCCCCGTTCGACTTCCGGTTTCTCCAGCTCAGTGAAAAATACCTGTATTGCTCAGGAAATGTGAGAGTTGCCCTACCTTCTCTTCCCTTGCTACTCCTGCCCAGTCCACCACTTTTCTGTGTATACTTTTAAAATAGTTCTTTAGCCCTGGCCGGTTTGGCTCAGTGGTTAGAGGGTCAGCCTGCGGTCCAGAGACCTGGGTTCGGTTCCCGCTAAGGGCACGTACCTCGGTTGCAGTTTGTCCCTGGCCCAGGTTGGCCGTGCAGGTGGCAGCTACTCGATGTGTCCTTTTCACACCGATGTGTCTCTCTCTCTCTCTCTCCCCCCCCCTCTCTCCCTCTCTCCCTCTCTCTCTCCCTCCCTCTCCTTCCCACTCCATCTGAACAAAAATGGAAAATGTCCTTGGGTGATGATAAAAATTAATTAATTAATTAATTAATTAATTAATTAATTAAAATAGTTCTTTGATTTGTCCCCTTATCTCCAGTCCTATTGCCGCAGCGAGCCACTGTCATTATTCATCTGTTTTCCACAGGGGCTTCCCCTGGGTTATCTCCACCCTTTGTCCTCGCAGCCTATTCTTCACCTAACAGCCAGAGTGATCTTTTAAAATATTAAGTGGATCACATCACATCACTCCCTGGTTAAATTCTCCCAGTGCCTTTACAATGTGCAAGACCCAGAAGAAGGAAGTTTGTCGAGGAGGGATTATACTGCTGTGTCACATGGACTGAGGATTTTCCATCTGCAAAGCAGTACTCACAACACCTACATCGAAGGGTTGTTGTGAGAATTCAGTAAAGGCCACTGTTGTCTTTGCATTTGTTTTATGTTGGCCTCTGCAGGGAAGAAGGTAAAATGGGTATTGTTAATAGCTACTTTACACTCCCCCACAGAGAACCTTCTACATGTCTTAGTGACAACATTTTCCTGTGTATGATCGTGGCCTCATAGTGCATCTGCCTTGATTGAAGGATAAAACCCTGCTTTTTAAAAATTATGCAGCAGATCAAGCTCAGGTGGAGACATAAGGCACAGTGAGGAATAATTCCACATGTCTTCAGATCATTTGTTTAAGTTTTGAAATGGAAAATGATTAATGTGGTTAATGCAAATATCACGTCATAAAAATTGAAACTTTTTTTTGTTTGTTTGTTTTTAATCCTCACCCGAGGACATTTTTGCATACTTTGTTCAGACAGAGCCGGAGGGAGAGAGAGGAAGAGAGAGAGAGAAACATCGACGTGAAGGGACACATCGAGTGGTTGCCACCCGCACGACCAACCAGGGCCGGGGACAAACTGCAACCGAGGTACGTGCCCTTAGCGGGAACCGAACCCGGGTCTCTCTGTACCGCAGGCCGACGCTCTAACTGCTGAGCCAAACCGGCCAGGGCGAAACTTTTTTTTTTTTAATAAATCTCTATTTTTATTGATTTGAATCCATCTTTGCCTTGAGCTGTGCAGGACAATTTCCAAAATAGCATCAGGACTTCAACAGCCCATAGCGTGAGCAGTGCCCATGGCCCTCTTTGCTTTACATGCACACATTCCGATTTCGAAAACCCCGCAGTGAGAATGAGTCCAGGAATCTGCGGAGGCTGGTGGCTGAAGAGCCGGAAGGCAAGGTGAGAAGCTGTCCGTGCAGGTGCAGTGAGCTGTCTCTGCAGAACTCCAGGTCAGCCTTCCCTGTGCTGCCTTTTCATACCGGATGTAGGTGAAAGTCACAAGACCACTGTGATGAGCGTTTAGCTGTACTTCAACGTGAAATCAGTTACATCAGTGATTATCAGAGCAAACACTTTATAACCATCAGCCTTCTCCAGTTCCTAGACATTGTGTTCGGTGTCTTAATTGCATGTTTCTCTCGCAGGATACTGGAACATGTAAGATCTTTTGGTTTTATAGCAGCCTTTTATGCAGCTGAGCTCCCCTGACGCCTGTGTTTGTACTCCCGAACTTGACTCTGCATTCCAGTCGCGTTTAAATATGACCTGATGTCCATCTAAGGGCTCCCTGCCACCTCCAGACATCTGTATGTGCAATTGCTAAAAGATTCTTCCTTCTAATTCATCTGGCTAAAATACAAGTTGTCCTGCAGGATGCAGTCATTACACCCTATGGGGAGTCTTCTTTGGCTCAGCAAGTGGTTATGTAGCCCTCTCACCTGCTCTCATAACACCAAGTACCTCTTCCATAGTGCCTAGCTCCTTGTCTTGTTTTGTTTTTGTTTTTATAAATGGAACACTATTTTTTTTTCTTTATTGACTCTTAGAGAGAGAGGAAGGAAGAGGGAGAGATAGAAACATCGATGAGAGAGAACATCAGTTGGCCACCTCTTGCATGCCCCCCCCCCCCCTGGGATTTGGCCCACAACCTGGACATGTGCCCTGACCCGGAATTGAACCAGCGACCTCTTGGTGCATGGGCTGATGCTCAACCACTGAGCCACACCGGCAGGGCTATCTCCTTGTCTTGTAATTGACTGGCTAACGGCCGGCCCGCCTACTAGACAGGAGCCGTCTCACCCTCACTACATCCCCAGCACCTAGCACAGCCCTTCACAGAGCGGGGACGGAACATGTCTTGAGTGAATGAATGAGATTTCTGTGTTGCAGAATGTTTGGGAGTAAAACTGAAAAAAAAAAAATTTAAGGAAAATGAATGTGAACCTTGAAACTTGAGACAACACTTATTAGCATTTTTTGGTTTCCTTGCTTCTAGTTCACTTTCTGTAAACTTCACTGCATAAAAATCTTTGAATACTTCTGTCTTCACTTCACAGTATTCTACAAGCATTTTCTTTTTTTTTTATCCTCACCAGAGGACATTTTTCCATTTTTGTTCAGATAGAGTGGGAGGGAGAGAGAGGAAGAGAGAGAGAGAAACATCGACGTGAAAGAAACACATCAACTGGTTGCCTCCTGCAGGACCCCAAGCAGGGCCAGGGATGAATCATAACAGAGGTACATGCCCTTAACCAAAATCAAACCCGCGACTCACTGGTCCATGGGCCGACGCTCTAACCAATAAGCCAAACCAGCCAGGACACTGCAAGCATTTTCTTACATAACTACAAATTCTCTGGAAATGCCACTTAAATGATTGTAACAAGATGCTCTTTAGAAGTAACATAGTTTATTCAGATAGTCTCTATTGTTGGACTTTGTTACATGAAATGTTTTGTTGCTATAAATAATGACTAAATGGCCGTGGCCTGTTTGGCTCAGCGGTTAGAGTCGGCCAGCGGACTGGAGAGTTCCAAGTTCGGTTCCCGCCAAGGGCATGGACTTCAGTTGCAGTTTGTCTGCGGCCTCAGTTGGGGTCATGTGGGTGGCGACTATTCCATGTGTCTCTCTCACATCGATGTTTCTCTCTCTCTTCCTCCCTCCAGCTCCAAGGATAAAAAATAATAATAATAATGACTAAATGTATATTCTTTGCATCTCTGATTATTCCTCTATAATAGAGTCTGGAAATGAAATTAGTGGGTGAAAATTCACAATTCTACTTGTAATCTATCAAAATACCTACCTCAATGTAGCCTTAACTATCAGGCGATCTTTTTTGAAGAGTGAAGATTTCATGAACAAAAGGAGTACTCCTTTTGACCTTATATTTATTGGTCATTTTTATTATACTCCTCTGTGTCTGTTAGTTTTCTTATTGATTGAAAAGCTCTCAATGTGTTAAAAAAAAAATACAATCCTTTGTAAAAAATTTTTCAAATATTTCCAGTGTAATATAGGTTTCTGACCTTTTTTTGTGTCTTTAATTTTTTTTAATTTTATGCACACTTATGAATCTATTCTTCTGTGGATTACTCAATTGCTTTTTCATATAGAATTTCTTTCCCTGCTGAGATATATAGTTTCCTACTTTGATACATTAGTTTTCATTTCTTTTGATTATATTACTTTTTGACCAATTTAGAATTTATTTTGGGTGGCAGTGTGAGAAGAGACTTTAACTAGATGTTGAAACAAAATAGTCCATTTTTCTAATATGTTCTCTTGACCTTCAAAGAACTGCCATTAAAGGCAACTGCAGGGACATAGCCAACATCCAGAGACATGGCTCAGTGCTCACGGTGCACCTTGCTCTGTCCTCCCAGGTGGACAGGAGCCGGCTGTGAGCAGTGACCATGATGGCTCAGTGCCCACGTGCACCTTGCTGTCTCCTCCCAGGTGGACAGGAGCCGGCTGTGAGCAGTGACCATGATGGCTCAGTGCTCACGTGCACCTTGCTGTTTCCTCCCAGGTGGACAGGAGCCGGCTGTGAGCAGTGACCATGATGGCTCAGTGCTCACGTGCACCTTGCTCTGTCCTCCCAGGTGGACAGGAGCCGGCTGTGAGCAGTGACCATGATGGTTCAGTGCTCACGTGCACCTTGCTCTCTCTTCCCAGGTGGACAGGAGCCGGCTGTGAGCAGTGACCATGATGGTTCAGTGCTCACGTGCACCTTGCTCTGTCCTCCCAGGTGGACAGGAGCCGGTTGTGAGCAGTGACCATGATGGCTCAGTGCTCACGTGCACCTTGCTCTCTCTTCCCAGGTGGACAGGAGCCGGCAGTAAGCAGTGACTCGGATATCTCGCTGATCATGGCGATGGAGGTCGGACTGTCCGACGTGGAACTTTCCACCGACCAGGACTGCGAAGAGGTGAAATCGTGAATCGGCGACTGCAGAAGAAAGGGATGGTAGGACCCCAGGGGAAGGAAGGAAGGAGTGCCCGAGACGGACCAGGCACACACACCTCCAGAACACCTCGGACTGCTCAAGAATGGTCGTGAAAGCAATATCCAAAGTCAGGTTGGTCCGGATGCAGTTTCTCCATCTCTACAGCCGACCACGGCCGCGGCGGCTGGGACGTGGAGAGCTGATGTCCCCTCCCAGGTCCTGGGAGACACACACGTCGGAGGCTCCTAAAACAGACTGAAAGGACACTTTTAGGGCTTCTTAGCTTTCATTTCAGGTTTTTTTCCCAGTCCTGTTTTCTTGTTTTGGAATTGTTGTTTGATTTCTTTGGCAGTTTCTTTTTAAAATCTGGGTACAGTCCCCTGTAAGTCCACCCCTTTGTTTTCCCTCCGATTCGCTCCAGCTTTTGTGTAGAGCTGTGTCTCGAAGCCCCGTTTCCTGATCGGTGTGTATCCCTCTCCAGGACGAATGACCTTGACCTCTCAGCATGAAGTGTGCATGAGCACCCTGAAACTGTTGAAGGCCAGCTTTCATTAAGAATCTAAATTCTTTTAAATGGCTCTTAACAATCCCAGCTGCCAGAGACCCCAACACTGAGTTGAACGCGTGGAGGCCACTGCTCATTAGTTTCAGCAACATCCGACTGGCCTCCACGTGCCAGGCTCTGTGAAGGGTCCCGTGACCTGGGAAGGGCACTCTAGGGAGGCACTTTAATTTGTCTGGATCTTACAGTCTGTGGCTGAAATTCTGAACTCAGAAGTCCCCTCCAGGGTATTAAGGCCATTCCGCCTGGCTGAAGGGCTTGTAGCTAAAAGCCCAGGACTCATTTTAAGACCAGATATCATGCATTCTTTCTAAAAGCAAAATGTCTGTTGTACTGGCTTCGCCGAGGCTAGAACAGGCTTCGTTACCTCACGTGGCTTTTGCAGGAGATGGAGGCTTAGAAAAGTCAGCTTGGAGCCCAGGGTCCGCCCCAATGCGGGGTTCACCCTGGTTTCAGCACCTCTGTCACGCCTCGGCAGACCCCGAGGGAGGGTTCAGGTGACTCCTGTACAGATCGCTTCCCAGGCTCCCTGAGTGTGTCCGGACACCAAGTGAGGAGGGAGGTGTGATTCAGTGAACCATTTGGTCTAAAACGTACAGCATGGAACTTGGCCAAGTGAAGCTTCTCCTGACTGAGACAAAGGGAGAGGAAAAGAGGTATCACTTTTGAAACTGTTTATGTTTGTATTCTTTTTTTTGTAACTATGACAGAATGTGCTATTTTTTCAGTGGGCAATTTTGTAATCCATGTAGACTCCCCCAGTGCAGAGGTGACTAAGGTGGTGCAGTCTCTGGACAGGTGACCTTGTCCTCTGCAGGAGGCCGCCGCGAGGGCTGACCAGGAGAGGAACGGTCCCTCTCTGGGCTGTTCTCTGCACAGTTCACGAGGCTTCTCCCCCCGTGACACTGACACTCATCCCAAGCCGAGTTAGGCTCCGCCGTCCAGCGTTGCTGCCTGGTGACGCATGGGACCCCCTGCGGGCTCTTGTCACCACCTCTGACTTTCCTATTTGATGCTTTCTAAGTAGGCAGCGAGGCCAGGACGTGGTCGCCAGCTTCAGAAATACCACGTCTAGCTGGGCTGGACTGAGATCCAGGAGGGATGAAGACGGAGCTGAACCAGAAGTCGGGAGGCCCAGGGGAGCCGTGTTCTTGCTGGGGCTCCCTCTCCTCTGTAAAGTGGAGATGGAGAAGATGGTGCCCACGGCGCCTTTGGGCCTCGGGACCCCGAGGGAGCACTTTGTCAGGGGGGTCCATCTTTTGCAGGCAGCGATGGTGTGTAGCCGACCTCCTGCTTTGGGGAGGCGGAGTGGCTGGACGTGTAACGTAGAGTAACAACTTGAGACGTTGCCCTCCTGTGTTGCTGAGAATGAACGAAGTTTTCAGCCCAAGTTGGAGTTGTTTGGTTCCACCTTGTTTTCAGTCCGCCGTTAGGCACGAGTTTGCCGTCTCTGGACCCCCTCAGAGCCTGGTCCAGGGTATGGTTCTTCTTACTCTCAAAGTGTTTCCTTTCTCGGTCAGCATAGGCCTGCAGTACCTCCCCCTCTCCTGTCGGCCGGGCCCCAAACAAATTTAACTTAAGTGTAATTAGAAGAATAATTCAACAGCAAAAGAAATGCGCATTGTATTCCACACCCAGAGAGAAAAATGCCGTTTGAGTGCACAGTCCTCTGTTCCCTGCCCCTGCCGGTGACCAGGGACAGCAGGGACTGATTGCATGTGGCCGCAGAGCCCCTACAGGACACTGCGTCGATGCTGAGGGCCCAGGAGGCTCACTGGAGGCCTGTGGACCTGCCCCAGGGAGGCTCTGCTGCAAACCCTTGTGTCTGTGAGGTTCTCCAGTTACCAACGGTGTGTTTCTGGGGGAGTCTCCTGGGACTTTGGTAGCTAAAAAAAAAATGTTTTTAACCAGCATGGAAGGATGCAAAAGACATGGAAACAGCACTTCCTCACCACCTCCCGCCAAAGACCTGGGACCCCGTGGTTCATGCAGGGTGTCAGGAGGTCGGGGACCCTCTAGAATTATATGCAAATGGGCTGTGGGTTCGCCACTGTGCGTCCAGACCAGCACTGTCCGACGGAGACGTACTGCAAGTCACTCATGTCGTTTTAAGCTTTCTACTGGCCATTAAAAAACCGAACACATAAACATGTAATACTATATTTATTTAATCCAATATCATTTTTCCAACATGTGATTCATGGGAAAGGTATTCGTGAAACACCTTATACGGTCTTTGTGCTTAGTGCTCCGAAGCTGCTGCGTATTTATGCTCATGGCGCATCTCCGTGGGGACGAGTTACCGATTGGACAGCGCAGGTCTCCAGCTTGCGCAATAGTCTCACAAGGTTCCCCGGCCCTTACAAAGAAAAAAGGTGAAAACTTCATTTCCTTCCCAGAGAACTAGACTCCACCCAAGCTGCCTGGTTAGAGGCCCAGAGAGCTGTTGGTTTGGGAATGGATGAACATTCGGGCTGCCCTGGCTGAGGTTCTGCGTGGACTCTCTCATCACATCACTGGTGTCCATTACCCTTTACTGTGATTTCTCTGACCAGTGGTTTTGCAGAAAGTCACACAAACCATGTCGATCTGGTGCTGAAACAAAATGATACCCCTCACTTCGATGACAAACCCTTATGCTGACATGTGGCACTCAAGAGCCAAAGAGAATTCCAGATTGTAGCCATCCAACTTGACCTCAAGCCCTAGCTGTCCTTCTCCCTGCTCAGTGGGAGGTCTTCCTGGTGCCCCCCGAGGATTTGGGAGGGGAAAGTGGGAAGTTCCCCACTGACTCCAAATATAAGACTTTGCGTGGCCTCATTGAGAAAAAGTCTCTGAGGCTTGTGGCCATCCAGCCTCTACGTGGTGGATTATGCCTGGGTCATAATCCATGTACATAATGCATGGACAGCCCAGCTCACAACTCAAAGTCAGCATCCCCTCCCACCCCGAGGCCGTGGGGAAGGAAAGGAGCATGCCCATCCCCTCAGAACCATTTACAATCACCTCTAGGAATTGCTACCTCCTGTGCGGCTGGTCCCTTTGGGAGGAACTGAGCCCTGATCGTGAATACAGCACCTGAATGTTGATGGCGTCTCCAGGGTTTGTCACCCCTGAAATGTCAACTGCGTCATCCAGGCAGGAAGAGTGGAGAGTGTGAGGAGTTAGTAGGGGCCAAGGCCCTTCCCTGTTCTGACGTCACATAGTAAGCATCGTAACTGTGGAGGTGAACCTGTGTCCAGAGAAGTTGGCTGGTTGGTTTTGTCTTGTTTCCGGCATTTCCCTCCTTCTGGTGGGAACGGCCTCCAGGTGTTCACGGCTCTGGGTGTGGTCGTGTGGAAAACCACGGTGCCCCGTGGCTGTCTCGGCTAGTGCCTGGCCTCCCTGTGGCTGCCACGCCTTCAAGCCGGAAATGCAGACAGGTGGCCTAGCACAGCATTCTTTCTTACGTGCGTTTTGTTCAGGTGAACATTCTTGCAGAGCGTACAACATAAATGGCATTCAGTTATCCATCGAGTGCCTCACCTTGACTGAACACAAGGAAATCCCAGGGAATCAGCTCTCAGAAGATCTGGGCTATCAAGTCACACCTTCTGTGGAGGGAGGACCCAGCCCTGTGTGGGCCCAGGGTCCCTGCGGCCATTTCTTGTAGCATTCTTTATACGTTGTCACTTAGATTTCTTTCCCTTCTCTGTCTCTGGCTTTCTCTTACTGCCTCTCTCTTGCTTTGTATGCCCAGCCACACACATTCTTGTCCCGTCCTTCAGGACTGGAAAACCTTGCTGGGTCTAGAGGTATGGAGTTAGTAATATGATCACGGTCGTTCTGTCATCAGTGTCTTCTTCTCATTCCCTGATAACATCTTCTTCTTTGTGTCTTCTTCTAATTTCATGATGACATCTATATTTGCACTTCAGATCATAATACCCAGTCTACTCTAAAGGCAAATGAACTTCCTCCTTAAAGGAGCTGGCCCGATTTTCACTTCTCAGATCTAATTTTATCTCAGACCATCTATAACTATTGCCTTTTTTTCCCAGGCTGCCTTGCCAGACCAGTCCCCCCAGGCAACTAATGGCAAGGAAACAGCCCCGGAATGCTGTCTACATTTAGCATCTTCCACCTCCAGCATCTGTGACCTTCCTAATTCACTCCAGGCCCCCCGGGGTTGGATTTCTTAGAAAAATGTGTGGGCTGTACTGTATCTGATGGCCACTCATGCTTCTTAACATTGTAGCACAAGAACTTGCTCTTTGTAAGTGATCTGAGAGGCCACTTCTTCCTTAAGACTGAGAAAGAGACACAAAGAAACCAGCCTCCTAAGGTGAGGGACACGCAGTTCCTCGGGCACTGCTCTGTGTCCCAGAAGCCCCTCGTCCGCGCTGTTGCAGGGCCGGGACTGGAGAGTGCACTTGGTGATGGCAGGTCAAAGGCAGTATGAATACCGCCCTGCAGGGAATGGGAACAGGATGGCAGGATATGAACTTCCATGCGCTTCCTGGGTAAGTCAGTGCTCATCTCCTAGGTTTAGAGCCGAACTAGTTCTTTCGAGTGTATGTGTGCGTGTGTGTGTGCGCGCGCATGTGCGTGTGTGAGGGAGGTAAACACTCACGATTGCAGAGAAGGCTTGGATTTCCTGAAAACTAAATTAATTCTGAGAAGCAGGTATGGGTTTCTCATCACTACCTCTTCCCTTTTCCCACTTTTCTCCCCATCTTGCAACTCCAGGCCCTTTGTAATAGAAACAATCATTTGTAAAGATCCGTAGATTGGTAGCCACACTCTTCCATGTTGAGGCTTCTGATAGCACCACATTATCACTCCTGAACGAGAGGAGTGGCTCCAGGTCCTCAACGGGGCCCTTAATTATCAAGCCTCTTAATTGCAAAACCCGCTTGTTCTGCAAAGAACCTGCTGAGGCTGTTCACAGCTCTCTGAAGGTGCCTCTCGTGCTTCATCAAGGGGCTTTTCTTCAGAAACCCAGGCGATCCAAGACCTTCTCAGCCTTGTTACTACTGACGTTTGCTCTGTGGCCACCCGATCAATACTTGTTGATGAGATGATAAGGCAAGAAGATGCATCTCTTAAGACGCATGCAGGTCCGAACAGAGCACAGGAGAAGAATCTGTGGAGAAGGTAGCTCAACCCAAGTTAGCCATAGTCACTGCTTGGAAGAGTGTCTGTGTTCTTGTCGTCCTGACTGAACAGAGGGCTTGGAGAAGCAGGGAGAATGCGGGGACCATGTGTGCTCTGGAAACCAAAGACGGCTCACCATCCAAACAGACACACGTTTCCTCCATTGACCAGCTGAAGTCTCTCCTAATGTGAGGGTGGGTCGCTTACTCGAAGGAAACTGAAATCTTTAGGGGTTTCTCTTGCAGGCTGGTGATTGACCTTGATCTCACTGAATCCAGAAACCTAAAAAAGAACATCATGTGGCCTTTGTACCACAGCATCTTTCAAGTCTAGTGGTTAGTCCCCTTTTCCCTCAAAAGTTTTAGACAAATCAAGCGCTTTAGTCAGCTCATAATATTGTACTTTTGGAGAATGTGACCATTTTAAATAGCCAAAGAATGTTCATGTATACGAGCTAGTTCATCGATCCCCCACTCTTTTGAAGAGAATACCAAACTACTGCTTGTTCTAATAGAGCAGTTGAAGAAGGACGACTAACAGGAACTTTGCGGTCTCATCTGTGTTGGCATCTAGGGTACACCCTGTTCCGTAGGATGTTTTTGCGAGGGGGCAGAGCGCCCTCTGCTGGAAAGTCACCTTTATTCTTTCAGCCAATTAATTTGACGAGAGTCACCATTTCAACAACTAGTTATTTGCTTTTTATTATCCAGGCCCCTCAGTAGTTGAGAAATTGGCTTATCAAAAGGGGAAAGAATGTCACAAACACTGAGAAGTTGAAAGAGAACCCCACTGTCAGCAGCCCCTTTCTTCTGCACAAAGTTGACACGTACTGTTGGCTCTGTGTGTGACCAGATTGCCCTGGCTGGGTGTCTGTGCAGTTAGATGGCAAGGGTCTGACTTTGTAACTTAACTTGATTCTTTTCAAATTGCAAAGGAAGATCAATAAACAGACTTCTTCCATAGGAATGCAGATGGTGTGGAACCCTGGCGTGTTTTGTACATGTACATAATAATATATTGATTACCCGCCTTCACATTAGTAATCGGAAATGGCTGTACCATTTTATAATTAGAAAGAGATGGAGGGGTGGGGGAGGGGTGGAAGGGCTGTTATTTTTCTAGTGGGGAGGTGTTCCTTATATTTAGAAAACTTGAAGAAATTTTGTATTTGTGAAAAGTTACATTCCACTCATTTTCTGAAAAAGAATGGGTCTTGCTCTTTAGAATACTCATGAGCTGGGAGAATGAGAATTCTAGTTTCCAGGGAAGCCTTCCAAGAAGTTTCTATGTGATACTCAATTCTGTAGACTGCAGACTATGACCAGCAATTGCCAGTTAATAATGTGAAAAGAAAAAGAAACTCGACTTATTTTGACCCCTCTGTATATAGCACATTTCCACCAAAAAAGACATCGGCTACAAAGGATGGATTTACCATTATGAAACAGTCCGACGTGGCATCCTATATCAGTCTGCTCCCTACTAGCAAGAAAAAATCCAATAGATTTATTCTTCCCTTCTGAACATGAATTGTGTGCTTTTATTGTAAAAGAAATGATGTCACAGATAGGATTGGACTTAACGTCCCCATGAGGTCTCTCTGGCCTGTCTGCAGGTCACACAGATGACGGTCCCATCGCATTTCCCACCCTCCCCACAGTCAGGTCCTGAGACTGGGTTTCCTTGATGGATTTGCCACATGACTCAAAAATCAACAGTTATTCTTGATGGCATTTTCATGGGCAACTTTTAATTTGGACTTTGATTTGCTCTTAATAACTGAAAAATTTAGTAATGGATTATGTACCTATTTTACCCAAACATCATCTTCTGTACAAAGTCCCAGGCATATTTAAATGATTAGTTAAGGCAGGATAGTTGCTCTCGCCCCCCCCCCCCCCCCCCCCCCCATAAATCTCTTTTCTTCTTCTCCACCTTAGGCACCTACCTTATTCCTTCCAAAGCACTTTATATCTCAAAATACAAAGAAGTTTTTAAATACGGTCTTTAAAGGGATTTGCCTTCTGTTAGGAGACACAGATTTTTCTTTCGCTTGATTCTCTACTCTGCTTGGAGAGCGACAGGACTGTGTCTCTTTCTGGGAGAGGTGGAATGTTAAGGCTGAGGGTCGGAAACATTCAAATGTACAACATGTCTATTTTTGTTACATGGGAGACTATCGTGTAAATAATTGCCATTGTGTTCTTATGTACTGGTCAAAAAAATATTGCAACTTTAATGATTGGAAAGGATTGTGGATTCCAGGAAATTTCATTGCAAAATTTTGTTTGGTTTTGTTTTTTAATAAAATGGAACCAGACGCTGGTGTTCGTGTCTTCCGTGTTTCTTACTGTGTTCCCTGGCCCCGAGTTCCAGAGGGGCCCTGTGGGTTTTAAAACCTTGATATTTACCATGAAATCCTGATTATGGTAAAAGAGCGAGGGATTTTTAATAACTTTGTTATTTCTCTCAGGTAAGTCAAGGACTAGCACCTGACCTCCTCGTAGCTTTGTTCCACTCCGTGAAGGGATGAAAAGATTTGGAAGAATTCAGAGGAAGAATGGGTGCTGAATAAACTTGAGGAGCTGGGGGGGGGGGGGGCTGGGCTCTATTGTCTAAGCCATCTGGGGCAGGTGACCCTACCCAGGGTTACACCTCGGGACCCACCAGATGGGCTGGGGTGGACAGGTCCCTTTTTCTGTTTAGGTTCAGCTCTAAAGGATTTTAAAATTGGCAAGGAAAGGAAATGCGAAAGGTGGGAGCGGCCAACCTGGGAAGGAGGAAAAGGAGAGGCCCCCTATTTATCGTCGTCTCGGGAAACTGCCAGGATCCTCGGTGTGACCAGTCCAAGGTTAGGCTACGCACAGCCCCTGGAGGAGCGGGGCTGGACCGGCCCAGCGCAGAGCAGCAGCGGAGCCTGCCTCCCCGGCCAGGGCCCTGGTGGACTGCGCACAGCCCCTGGAGGAGCGGGGGAGCCTGCCTCCCCGGCCAGGGCCCTGGGTGGACTGCGCACAGCCCCTGGAGGAGCAGGAGAGCCGGTCTCCCCGGCCAGGGCCCTGGGTGGACTGCGCACAGCCCCTGGAGGAGCGGGGGAGCCGGCCTCCCCGGCCAGGGCCCTGGTGGACTGCGCACAGCCCCTGGAGGAGCGGGGGAGCCGGCCTCCCCGGCCAGGGCCCTGGTGGACTGCGCACAGCCTGCTGGCGCCGCCCCAGCTGCGTGGAGCCCAGGCCTCTTGCGCTCCACCGCCCACACGCGAAGCCCACAGGCAAACGTGGGAGGCTTTGCTCTGGGGCCAGACCATGCCTAGTTCTTAGCAAGAAAGATACTCCGAAGGGATTATTAGTGACAGTAATGATTGTGCTACATCAAAAGGCACTTTAAACTTTGTTTCCGCTTCCAATAGTGTGAGTTTTCTCCTCCAGACCCTGATTGTCTTCAATGAGGCCAACCTCGGGGCCTGTGACACTAGACAAAGCAGAGTCCCAAGGTCAATTCAGTTGGAATGAGGGCTCATCCAGTACACAGTCGCTGTTAAGAACTTTAAAGAAGGCTTTTCATTAAGGCACCGAGGCGACTTTGTATTACTCAGCTTTTCTGAAGCTGATTGAGACAGACGCCCATTTCTAAGGGTCCTGTAGGTGGGCGTGCGTTGGATGTGAGCGCCCGTGTGGAAGGTGGTGGGCTCCTGTCCTGCCCGAAAGAGGCTGCTGGACCTGGTTTCCCACACTGCCTCGTCTCTCTGGTCCCGGGGCCACCTTTACCAGGGAAAGGGCAGCCCGGCGCCCTCTCCACCGGGAGTGGACGTGCCCCAGGAAACACGTGAGTGGGCACCGCTCAGGCACCCTCGTGCCGGGGAGCGCGGGGCAGCTGCGGGGCTCACTCTCGCACTTTTTCGGGGAAGTAGAGGCCCTGCCCTCCAGGACACCCACTCTGGCTTTTGTTTTTGCAGACATTTATCCTTCGAGGATGAAAAGTGGAAAGTTCCCAGAGCTTTGTGACAAACCGGCTAGGCCAACCTTGCCCCCCATCCGAAGTCTGTTAACACCTCTGCTTGGGGTCCTGGGAGCTAACACACAAACATGTGCTTGGTTTTCTAAGGCTCCTAATTCCTTCCAGCCCCTGAGTGTGCCTATTGCTCTCCTTGCCTTGGCTGAGAAAGACCTAGAGCCAGATGGGGGGGGGGGGGGGAGGCTGTGAGGGAGAAGGTGACCTGTTTGCTCTTTGATGATTACACGGCAGAGGGAGAGGACCGATTCACAAAAAGTCCAGGAGACAATTTATGAGCGATTTTATAGCAACTGTCCCACCACCCTTTAGTGATCCAAGCACAGAAAACCCGTCCCTTCTTAGTTCATCCCACCCGTTGGTACGGAGTCCCCCTCAGGTCTCACTATGGTTGTCTGCTCTCGGCTGTGAGAAGAATAAGGGACGGTGACCTTCCCATGCTGCCACCTCAGGCCAGAGGAGCCCTCCACTCGCCGTGCCGAGGTCTCCCTCCGCGGATTCGCCGGCACAGTGCGCTAGAGCTGGTGGGGTGCCACCCGAAGTCCAGCCACCGGGGCCTGTACCTGCTGGCACACTGAGGGGTAGACCCCCAAGGCCCTCTGTCCTCTCTGTTTGGGAAGACAGTCCCACCCTGTCCCTGTGGGAACATCAAAAAAGGTCTGGTCACAGTTGTGTCCCCCCAACCTCTGCACCCGCCGCCGGCGTCCCTCTCATTCCCACCTGCTCTCCAGGGCCATTCACCGAGCGGGAGGGACCAGAGCCAGCTCTCGCTGGCGGGCAGGGCCCCCGGTTGCCATGAGAGCCGTGTACACAACAGAGCTGTCGCTGGTGTTACAGATCCAGTGGGAGCCCAGGCCCTCAGATCTCTCTCTCACACACATAATCCGGAGCTTTGGAAATGGCATCAGTGTCTATAAATAGATGTGAGCACAGAGAAGTTAATTGGAGAATGTAAGAATCCAGTGGAGTCAGACCTGAGAGTAAGATCCCATCGCTCGGGGCCTGGGTCTGATGTGACCCCAGCGAAAACCCCGGTGAGCCTAGCAGGGCACGGCCCCGTCTTTACGACCGGGGAATTAAAAGTGGTCGCCGTGACCTCTCGTCACTTCCCCTTCCCCTCTTTTCATCCCCTTTGTTGGAAATGAGGAGGAAGGGGAAAGGGAGGGTGTTAATTAGGGCCAGGGTTAGCGCTAGAATGTGGGTTTCCTGACCCCATTGCCAGAATTCTCTGGGCTGTGCCATAATCCTTCTGTACATGTAGGCAGCTCCAGGCTGCTCAAAACTCTCAGGATGGAAAGCAAGAAAAACTGGAAACTGGACCTTCTTAGGGTGATGGGAAGGTTATTCTGTAGGCAGGAAATACTCCCTGAATAGGAATGATTCGAATCTGCACACAGAATAGGATGGAGGCAAGCACAGTCTGTGAGCGGGTGCAAACACACACATTCACACACCCACACTCACTCCCTCTCACACACCATTACCACCAGCAGCAGCACCACCACAACCACAACCACACACACACACACACACACACACCCACGACCCACGTGGTGAGTCCCCGGGGAATGCTGTCTCATTTTAGCTATGCAAGGAAGCTCACTGCACTAAGATCCCAGTGGGAGTTATTATTTTCTAGACTGACTTATAATAAAATGAGTTGTTATTTTGCGCCCAAAACTGGCTCACAGGCAACGGCCTGGCTTCCTCCGGACCACGCTGTGACAGGAAGTGTGGAGAGAGGATGGCTTTATCTCGTGGAGGGCCTAGGTGTCAGAGCCCCCAAACTACAGAGCACTTGAAAACATGAGAATCAAACACCTCACATCTCCTAAGAGCAATAGCTCAGCTGGTGGGAAAGTAAGAGAAATGCCTGGAATCAGAAACTAGAAGGAAGTATCACCCAGAGGAGACAATGACCATGAGAAAGGGAGTTTGTCCTGGGTGCGTGGGCTGACCCCTGATGGTCCGGGGACTCACAATTATTTTTTCCGCAGAGGACCAGATAATACATATTTTAGGCTTTGTGGATCACATATGATTTCTATCACTGTCTTTCATGGTTGTTGTTTCTAATGATCCTTCTAAAATGTACACACTGTCCTTTGCTCGAAGGCCATCCAAAAACAGGCCACAGGAAGGGTTTTCAGGGGACAGAGACAAAGTCTGGGGTCAGGGTCAGAGACCTTGGCACAAGCCCAGCAGCCACCGTGGTGGATAAACTAGGTACAGATTTAGTTTAAAGTGGTCTCAGATTGATATTACACTAAGTGTTTGGTAGAATCAGACACATGTCTCCGTGAAGCTGTACTCTTTAGACCCAGGTGTCAAAGAAATCCTCACAGACCAAGTTTCAGGATTATAAACTCACCATCAAAAATCTCCACACAACACAGAGAGGAAATGAACCACCGGAAGGAAGAGAATCCGAGTCAGACTCAGAAAGATTGACTAACATCGGGTACAAGGAAAAAAAGCCATGTTGGAAGGAGCCCTCCCGTGACTCCAGTGCACTGTGCAGTTCACGGACCACCCTCCCAGTCCTTCAGAGCCCAACAGCGGCCCCTAGAGCCAACGGGGACCGGGGACCAGGCAACGGCATCACTTTAGTTAGGCTACTTTGATCTTATGATGGTGGATTTGGAGGAGACTGGATTTCATCATAAGGTGTTTTATTGCTTGACCATTTGACTTGCATAGAGGGAAGGAATAGTCTAGGTTATCCTGCAGGGTCCCAGATGATCTAACCCTGCCTACATCTCCCATTTCCCCCCATCTGAACATTCTCCCCTGACTGTCAAGGCCGCCCTCACCTGGAGCTCTTGGTGCAACTCTGTATTCTCAGGACTCCGGAGGAGCTCAGTAAAGGTGGTCAAACT